TTACCTTGTATCCAGCGCAGCATCAGCGAGATCATAGCTAATCAACTTAATCCAAAAAAGGAGGTTGTAGACGGAAATTGAAAGATAACAAATACATTTTATTGATACATGGAAATAGACTAAGATTTGTTACTATTCCAAATAAATATCGAAAGATAGTTACATAATAGAGAGTGTCATATCACTGTTCTTTTCTGAAGGAGTGAGAAAAGAAAAACGAGCTGCACAATTAACTCCTTTGCAGTGTGTCCAGATCACATTGTTTATCGTGCTATTGACAACAGTCCATCACTATTTGCATACCAACAACATCAAGCAGCAAAGGCAACAGAAAAGAAAAAAAAATTATAAAATGTGTTTGATGGAAGTCGGAATTCAAGTTCTATAAAGGCATATCTGGAACTTGGAAATGATAACAGCAATAGCCATGAGGAACTGAGTGATTACAAAATTAGTATGCAATGTTGTAATCATTAAAACCTCCAAAACAATGTGAGTAATTACAGGCTCTGAGAAAACATTTTTTTAAAGCACACTGAGAGAAAGCAGCATTAAAAATTATTCTTTCAGTTTTTTTTTTTTTTTTTAATTTTATACTAGACCCAAGAGGGCGGGTTTTCTCCGCCCCCCCCCATTTACACATGCATACACATTTCAAGAGTATTTGGGCTAAAAATAAATAAAAACTGCATGTCTTCAAAATTTATGATAGACCTTATGTGCTGCAGATAGAAATATTTTATTCTATACAGTGTGTTGCCGCTGCTGGCTTTGAAATCATGGAGTTTCTTAATAAAAAATTCATTAAAGTTTAAAAGTAGGAAATAGATAGTAAAACAAATTCAAGATTTGGACTTCCAGGTTCCCATATTCTGGTGAAAGACTTAAAATTTGATGGTTCTAGGTATGGTTATTTTTTCACAATGCGAGAAACATACATACATTCATGCAGATTTGTCATTATTTACTATCTTTAAACATAATATGAGACGTTGATATTTGGTGGCAGGCAACAATTTGAAAAGTGATACAGCCTTTTATAATGATTCGAGCAAAATGCCATTTCGAGACTAATATCTCTGGTGAGCTAATGTCCCTTTGGGCTAAAAGGGAAAAAAGTTTAAAGGAATAGAAATTTAATATTAGGAAAATGGAATGAATCAAATTCTGCGTAAAAATACATTATTATCAGAATATATATTTTTAATATATAAGAATATGTGCATGAATATATTTAAACTGGTATTTGCCAAATAATATCTGCGTAATAATGCTGATGATCCATAATACTGCTTTTATAATAGTCATTGCAAAAGATAACACAAAATCTGATTAACTTGTTCCAAGTGCTAATTGAAACATAAAAGTAAAAGCGAAGTTTCTTTCGATTTAATATATTATGGAATCTATTATTAGGACAAGGTATTTTTTAATCAAGTAGATGAAAAAGGCATTTCTAGCATATATTCTGAAAATGTGCTTGAATATTTTTATTTTATATTCCCATTATAGAAATTATTTACAAAAGCATTATTTGGGCAAATATTTATATTTTTAACGCAAAAGAAAAAGATAAGTTCTTCATAAATGAAGAAATAGATTACTGTTTACACATATTTAAACAATTATTTAAAAAAAATTAACAATTTTTAACATCTATTTCATCTTAAAAATTAAGCTTATTTTTTATGTGTACTATAATTCAGTATGCCGTAGCTTTATCACTAGTTTAAATACATACAATTTCATGACCTAAAAATCTTGACTTATATTGTCTACTATACGATTCTTCAAAGATTTTTGATTTTCAAGCAAATACTTCATGAAATTGAATGCCGAATAAGGCACTCTCAAAGCAAAAAATTAGCAGGCGAACCCAGCTACGCCTGTACTTTCGGTTTCAGGTGCCTGAAGCCAAAGAATCAGCCCTTTAGCCCTGAGTGGATATGCTCCGAAATGAGTCAAAAGCATGAGAATTCTACATGTTGAGAGTGAGATGTGGATAATCAGAAAGTGACACAGCTCTATTTTACCATAGTTTTTTTAACTGTAATTCTTCATTTTATAAAAAGAGAGAAGATTAATGTAAGCTGATGGAATAATACTGAAAAATGTGCTAATAGTATCAATTTATATTAATAAAATATCTGTATTAGATATTGTATCATACAAATTAATAGGGAAAAAGAACTGTTGAACATACAGGGTGTTTATAAAGTCCCGCACCCATTTTGATGTTTAATAACTCATAAAATAATATAGATTAAAATTAATAGCCTAAATGGTTAGATAGACTCAAAAAGTTTCATGACCCTTGTCAATGAACTTCCACATGTGCCCCCGTCGTCGCACAGAGAATATCAAGTCGATATTGAATTTGACGCCAGGTACCGGTATCCACAGAGGCTATTGCGGTTGTAATTCTGGCTTTTAGGTCATTAATGTTCGACACTCTCCTCCTGTAAACGTTGTCCTTTACAAATCCCCAAAGGAAAAAGTTGATAACATTGCAATAGTTGCCAAAACCAAAAGATAGAAAAATGCAATTAATAAGCAGATGATATTTAGAAACGTACAGATATTTAGACTGGAAAATGAAATTATCTGAAATTAACCACATGCGCAGATGATATTTACAAAAGTAAAGATATTCAAACCTAAAAAGGAAAATATATAAGTTAGTCCATCAATAAATACCATAATTTGTTTATATCTTCATTATTTTATGAGTTATTAAACATCAAACCCTGTATTTTATAGTAGTTTTATAAAGAAATTTTATAGAAAATAAAACTTCGACATGCAGATATTGATAGAAAATTTGTTTGGTTATTAATTGCATAAAAGCTGAGTAGAAATCATTTAATGAAAAACATTCTATGGAAATTAATCCATATTCAAACTATGCATTGGAAAAGAATCAACCAATTTGCCAAAAACCAAATCCAAAACAAACTAGCAGTGTTTGGGTTTCTTAACATTGGAACACTTTAGACATTTATTAGTCAGAGAGGAGTTTTCATTATGCTTTGAAAATATACTTGAAGTTTCCAAAAGTTAATATTCTCTGTATAAAACTTCTCATTTATCTTTACATATACGTGTGTAAATGCCAGTGTGCTTGTTTTGTTTGCTTGAATAAGTTTTCTCGTACATAGATTCTTAAAACTGAATCAACAAGCGTTTTAAAATAAATTCACAATCAAGTATTCTTTCACATTTATAATATTCTGTTATTTTCAAGAAAGAAAAAAATTTATTAAGTGTTATCATCACAATAATACATTTCACTGAGTGTAATACTCGTGTATAAGAAAAGAGACTCTGATGAGACCTACTCTTTCGTATTCAATTGCTAATATTAAAAAAAAAAAAAAAAAAAAAAAAATTGTTTGGACATTGCTACACGAGTTATTTCTTAAAATGAAGTGTGTTGATAGTTATGCTGTTATGAAAACAAAAGATAATAATGATTCACCAGGTTGATGTTAGTGCCAAAGGGAAATTAAGAATTGGTGCCCTTCACGTGTTTGATTATGCAAAAATATCAAATGTGAAAGTGTAAAGTATTAAAAAAAAAGAAAGTCTGCTGGTGAACTTAGAGATCTGGATTTTAGGTCACCTCCTCACCACGCACCTGTATTTATAGCATAATTAAAGATTTGCATGTGCTACCGTGATATATAAATTCAATACTCTTTCTTCCATGAAAAACATGTCATGCGTTATTGAGGTATTTAGAGTTATTCCTTTCCTCCCACTTTTGATTAGATGCAGAACATTCCCTCTTCCAAACTTTTGTCTTATGTTTTTCATGTTTTCTTCCCTATTCACCGAATTTCTATTGATAATCTCCCTTCCCCCCAAAAAATTCTACTGATTTCATTCCTGAAATCTCCTTCCAAAAAAGAATCATGGAATTAAAAACAAGTGCAGAAATCATTAGTTGTATTGTGTTTTTTTAAATGATTTAATAAAATATGGAAAATTTCAATAAGAAAAATAATAAACATTATCTAAAAAGTATGATATAAGAATAAACATAGCACATAAAAGGGAAAAATGGCATTTAGCATAAAAGAAAATTTTGCCTTTGGAATATGCAGGTTACATGAATTCAGTAAGAGTCCGCAGCCCAACTGGGGTAGTGACTCTGAGTGCCATACTGAAGGGCCCGGGTTGAAATCCTGGTGAAAGCATGGTAAATGTATAATGTCTCTGTGGCATATGGGTACTCTAAATATGCAGTGAGCTGAAAGTCTATTCGAGAGCTTGGTGGTATAGGAGGAGGGGTAGGAGAGCCGCAGACCTATATCCTCTCACAAAATTTGGGACGGAACTGAGCTAAAGTTGGGCTATCATTTATATAGTGTTTAAGGCTTGCCAATGACAGGTGCATTTGACACCTTGCCACAATGAATGCTGCGAGTTTATACTAGTCTTTGTTAGGCAAATGAGATTGGCAGGAACAACAAAAACATAGTCCAAATGATGGGTGAGTCCGTTTTTGCCATTTATTGCATCATTTTGTTCTAACCCGTAAGCACCCAACAAGTTGAATATGACATCTAGTGCCTATGTTAATGAAATTATAAGAATGTTTTACTGTGAAATGTTCATATCAGGCAGCTTGCAAATCAAGCATTTATGTCTGTTTCAGCAGTCAGAAAAAAATAATAGCTGTGTCCATGACATTTTTCTCTGTTTTGCCAAATCACAAAAATCCATTGTAGTACAAAGAACAGCAACTATGATTAGGCAAAAATTATAGTTGCACTAATGATGAATATAAAAGCAATTATCACTAGGAAAGAAACCAAACCAAATCAATGCTAAGGAAATATACCAAAACAAAAAAGTGCCAGTCATGTTTGTTTAGCAGAAAAGAACTTATTTAACTGAAAGCTAATTTGTGATAGTGAAAGTAAGCTGTTTAAATTGATATTAAGTCATTAGTGCTCAAGAAGGTAATCTGTTTAAACAAATGCCTTTTTTGTTAGGGCTGAAGCATTAAAAAAGAAAAGAGCTGCTACAACTCAGCAGAATGTTCCTTCACCATCTGCTGTTTCACCTCCAAGTCTGTCCAGTCTGAATATCTCTGAAAAGTCTAATCAGAATCAGGTATTAGTAAATAAAAGAGCTAGTTCTCCTATACCTCTGCAACAAGTATCTGGGAAGGGAACCTACAGTAAAGAAGAAATAGCTGTCTTACAGTAATATGTTTATTTATTTTTAAATGGCATTTTTAATTGCTAATTTAATTAAAAATTAAATAAAAGTCAATGTTGAAAAATCTAATAATATATCATGACCCTTAAAAAGTTCAGTTTTTTTCTTACATCTGAAGTCGTAGAAATGCAAAAGTAGTTTTGTTACTTTGTAATTATTCAACTCCCACCAAAATGTCCCAAACACATTGGAGAGCATTTACTAACAAATGGCAACTGATTTTTCACCAAGTTAATGCACTAGTGACAAGAGCCGTTTTCAAAATGGCATTGCACTTTGAATTCCTTAAAAGATCATTCAATTAGTAAAATTTAAAAAGCAAGAAACTTTGGTAATAAAACTATTACTTTTTTGAGAGGAATTCAATAATTTTTTGTGCTATTGTTCTTCTCATTTATAAGCGATTTCTTTTCACTAAAAAAAAAGAATCAAAGAATTGCTTAATTTTGGTATTACACTCAACTAGGCGCTGTGCATCGGCTAACAATAAATAAGAAAAATAGCTGTTGCTAATGAAATATGGTTATCTTCAAACCAGTTTCCAACTCACATTCTAACTTTCAAATTGCATATCAGTAAAATTCAGTTATTTAAAAAGTACAACTTCATTAAATGTAAATTTTTGCATTCTCTATTATTGGACAAAACACCATATGTTTGCAAAAAATGCAATGCTTTTTTTTTTTTTTTTTTTTTTTTTTCATCAGCTGGCAAAGTTCACAATCCCATTACGATTCATTAGGAAAAAACACATTTGATGCAAAATGAAACTCTCATCAGAAAAGTGGCAGGTGAATTTCAAAAATGCAAATTCGCTTACCAGACATATGCTACATGCATGCCTTAATTGCTATATAAATACATTTTGACAACATGGTAGATTGTCAGCTAACTATTTTACTAGTTATATATTGCTTTTACCAATGAATACTTTTTCGTGACTTTTCATTGGAGATACAAGTAATCAGAAAGGGCTGAGTTTTTAGTTTCACTTCAGTGATCAAATAAGTTTAAATTCTCAGGTAATCTAAATTAAAATAAATTTAATTATTTATTTATTACTATAAAATCATCGAAATAAATGCAATAATGCTAATCAACAATTTAATGGAGTGGTATCTTCTGATATTTTAGATGAAATGTAATAACTAAATATATAAATTTTGATTTTGAAATATCGGAGACTTTTGTGCATATTTGGCTAAAAATGTTATTGAGTTATTTCAATTATTTAGAAATTTCTTGAACTCTGAAAAGAATATTGCTAAAGTATTTGTTAATTTGAGTGCCAAGTTATATGGCATAATTTTTTGTGACATGCTTTTTTAATATATTTTATTGTTATTGGTAATATTTATTTATTTATTTTTGTTAGAGTTACATCTATTGTCAATGGCAGAGAATATGTGCCTTTCATGCCTATTGATTTAAAAGAACGATTTGCATATCCATTGCCATTCTCTGACAGAGATGGTAAACTTACATTAAGTCCAAAACAGAAAGCTGTCTTTAAAGCCTGGGTTCGTCCAGAGGATTTTACATCAAGACCTGTTGTTATTGAACTAATAGATTGTTTCAGCTTAAGACAGGTTTGTTCTTACAATATATTTTCATGCAATTTTGTGCTGTTTTATTTATCAAATGCATTGTTGTTGTTGTTTCTCTTCTGCAGACAATAGTATCCGATTGTTCATTTGTTGCTTCATTAGCTGTAAGTGCCCTTTATGAGAAAAGATTCAAGAAGAAAATAATTACTAGGTAAATTTTGATTATTGCAATGCCTTTGCTGCTTTTACAGATGCTTGAATCTTTTTATTACTTTTATTCAATTCTTTTTTTAAAGGAAATTGGATAACATTTAAAATTTTACTATCTGATTTCCTCTAGCTAACTTACAACTAAATAAACTAAATTTTTAGATTTTATTTTAAGATAATTTTCATGAAATAGTTACTAGAAAACTAGAGTTTTCAACTAATTGGCTTTGATATAACTCAGCTTTTCCTTTCATAATATTTCAAGTTTTAATTTCTTTTGTATTTAATGTAATTTTTTAAACCGGGCTTCATTTGTGTAGTAAGTCCTGGAGAATTGAAGAATTCTACCTTGAAAATTATTATATTATTTGAAATTTTTTTTGAAGAAATTCATATGGATTATCAAAAATCATATTTATTTGTCTTCTTTCTTTCTTGGAAACATGAGGGTTATATAACAAGGAAATTCTTTACAGTAATTCGTTTGCTTAAATAAATAAAAACATTTTCAGAACCCATATTGCACTCGGTCAGTAATTTTATGGGCAGTGATTGATAAATACATAGTGTCAGTGCAGTGTGGGTTCCTGTCTTCCAGTGTATTACACAGTTGTTGCAGTGTTACTTGCCTTCTGTTCTTAATGTGTGTATCAACTACAGTAATTTTTCTGTTTACTAGTGTCGGACTCAAAACTTATGCTATCAACACATTTCCCAGTTGAAATATATTTTCCCACTGAAGCCCAGCATGTTTTGATATCTGTTTCTTGCCAAAGTCAGTGAAGTATCTTGTGTGTCTAAAACTGAACTGCTGTTTACTATGCACATTTGGACAAACGTGTATTACAGTAGTTAGCTTTTCTATACTGTACTGTGCTTCATGACTCTTTCAATCAGAATAACTGTCACAGTTACTCATCAGATGTCCTCATTCTCCTATTTCGATTGTGTTCTTTTCACTATGCCTTCTTTGCCATTTCCTTAAACTAACTGTTATGGTATGAGGTGACTTGTGTAATTATCATAAAATGTTCTCAAGATGTTATAAATCATTAGTGTTTATACTGGGTTTAAATGGTAATAAGTACTGTGACTACATATTATTTACTTGAGTATATTAATGACACAGGTACATTTTATTTTCATTTATTATTACTTGGATATTCTATTTTCTAGAAGTCAATTGATAATGCGTACCCTAAAATGTTGCTGGGTAATCATGGTTGTTTTCACTATATTGTTAATATCTTGCTGATTCAATTGTAATTGATATCAGTATGTCAATTTCATTGTTTTCCTGAGTACCAGAATTAATCTTAATCAATTTAATTAGTTTTGGATAAGTAGAATAGGCAAAGAGACTTAAAGACTAGAATTAAAACAATCATCAGTATTATCAAGCATTATGCATTAACCTCTTTTTATCATAAGAGGTGTTTATTCAGCTTCTTGTAGATTGCTTCAATGCAATATTCCTTTTTAAAGGAGGTGAAAAGCCTCTCTTGGAAGTCTTTTGGTTTTCATTTGTTCTATGTGTGATTGATTACCTTGTATTTTTGTATAAATTGATGCTTCCATTTAAATGTTAGGTATTTTATTTTTGCATGTCTAATTTTTCATAAAATGTTAATTTGTATATGAGTGCAACCCCTTTAATTCTGCAGCCTCATTTATTTATACTTTCAGCTCTGAAGCTGCAATTCTGATCTGCAAATTAAAGTATTAATATAACTAGTAATACAATGATGTTAAAAATTTTGGTAGTTTTGTTTTGTGTATGTAAAAATAATTTTCAGTTACAAGAATAGTTTACAGATGGCATACACACAAAAGATACTTTTTCATTATGCATGCGCACATATGTACATGCTGTACTTTTCTGTTACACGTACATATCCCAAAATGCTTGACAGGTGCAATATGTAATGTATATCTTTTAGTTGTAGAACTTTTAAACTGATAAAAGAGGCTTAACAAATCATAAATTTTTAAACAGTGCTTTAAGGTATATTAAAAGCAATTGGGTTTTTATCTGAATCTATTTCATAATTGTATGTAATATGCTATTGAGATATTAAAGTAAGTGGTATTCTAAGTATGTTTGACTGAAGTTTTGTTCAATTATTGAAATTTAATCCTAAGACGTCTTAATTTTATAAGGTTTAAAATAATATTTATTGAACTGGCTGTAATTAAATTTTCTTAATTGATGAAACATTTATGATCTTATGTGGCAAATTATCACATTTGATCTCTAGAAATTGCCATTTGTTGAAATTTAATCCTAAGACTTCTTAATTTTATAAGGTTTAAAAGAATATTTATTGAACTTGCTGTAATTAAATTTTCTTAATTGATGAAACATTTATGATCTTATGTGGCAAATTATCACATTTGATCTCTAGAAATTGCCATTTGTTGAAATTGCCAATTCTCTTGTAATAAAATATTTTTGCTTAAGATCTCCAAATTGCAAAATGTATCCAACATCATACTTATTTTTTTTTTCATTTATATTTTTATTTTAGCATCATATATCCTCAAAATAGAGCTGGTGATCCTGTGTATAACCCTTGTGGAAAATATATGATTAAAATGCATTTCAATGGTGTTCAAAGAAAGGTAAAGATCTGTGCAAATTAACATAAAAAAAGGTAATTGAAAGATTGTCTATAGATATATATGTGTATATGTTGTAAGAATGGTATATAATATCTTCTAGGTAATCATTGATGATTTTTTGCCTATGGGTGTTCATGGGGATCTCCTTTGTTCATATTCAAGTAATCGTAATGAGCTGTGGATATCACTTTTAGAGAAGGCTTATATGAAAGTAATGGGTGGTTACGATTTTCCAGGCTCAAATTCAGTAAGCATGTTTTCTTTTTATTCAAATTATAAAACAGTATACATAGACCTAAGTTAAAATCACAGTAACAACCTTGTATTTAGCGTACATATATTGAAATAATTGATTTTAAGGGCAGCTAAAGGTCCCTTCTTATCAGGAGAACGAAATTAATAGAAAGGGGAAAAAAGAAGAAAAATAAACGACTGGCAAAAGTGTCTCAGAAACATGTGGTCGTTATCAGCACTGCACGTGGTTGTAACCAGATTTTGAATCAGAGTTACACTGGCCGCCTACTTTTACTGAGCCAGACTATCTGATCAAACATATAACACATAGACTAAAACGCAAAAAAAAATCAGCGAAGTCAAAAAATAGGGAGCGAGGGCAACTGCTCCTTCACGCACCAAGTCTGAACCTCAAATGAACCATTCGAGGTTATTTATTATTTAGCTCTGTGTTAAATTTTAAATTGCTTTCATTTCAGTCACTAAAAATAAATCCTGATATTAAGAACCAACTTTCAAATATGTTATCAGAGCTCGTATTCATTTTGCTAAATTTTGTTAAATTTTAAATTGCTTTCATTTCAGTCACTAAAAATTAATCCTGATATTAAGAACCAACTTTCAAATATGTCATCAGAGCTCTATTGGTTTTATAAGCCATATTTGAAAGTTTATTCATAAAGTAATTGATAGTAGGAAATTAGTACCTACACTGGTGTGCAAAACTTGAGTAACAGGTATTCTTTTTGCCATAACTCAACAAGAAATCATCTGAGAGACATGAAATTCAGAAATGAGAGACAGCATTTTGTATTTAAATGATGATGAAAGCATAGTTGACCAAAAATGAATACGATTTATACAATATGGAATCAAATAAAAAAAAGGGCTTTTTGAACTCACAGTATCATTACAAATGATTGTCTGTACAAGAGGAAGAACAACAAGCGGATGTTCCTTAGTATGGGATATACCCTCCCCTTACTGCAGTGGTTGCTTCGCACTGTCTCTCCATACTCAGCACCAGATTGTCCAACACATCTTGAGGTAAGAGTGCCCATTCCTCAATCAGCCTCTGTTTCAGTTGTTGGGTGTTCCCTGGAGGACGTAATCGTGCTGCAAGGCATCTATCTGTTTGGTATAAAATGCAATGAGTTATGAGAGATAATGCCGTTGGTTTCAAAATAAAACTAACTAAGTTAGGCCACACAAATATTTCATTATTTACATAATGTACAAAGTTACAAGTTAAGTGCTCCATTAGCACAGACAAAGTGGAATGAGCGAACGCACCATAGGTCCACTGCGTACATTCTTCAACAACCAACTCAACTAAATTTGGCTCCTCTCACAAGAGCGCGCTAATCCTAGAGGGCGTTATATTAAACAGAACATTCCGGCCCCCATTGAAACAAGTTTCAATAATGCCATAAATGTTTTACAATCAAATTCAAATTTAGACATACATATGAAATACAAAATGAAATGCAATTTAACACAAATTATTTCAATTACAATTAAATTCAGTATCATATAATAAGAAATAAGAAATTCAGTATCATAAAATAAAAATGTCACACATAAAAATTACACTTGCACTAAATGAGTAATGTAATAATATCCATTCATAATATGGAAGTTTTATATTTGATAGTTGTCTGGTATGGGCAAAATACTTAATTTTGTGACAGGCCTTTTAAGGAGACCCTTTCCGTGCGTACACTAACTACTCTAACTCTTTTATCCAATCCGGGTATAACTTCTTCAACTCGACCTAAAATCCAGTGACAAATAGGCAAATTGTCTTCCCTCATGAGCACCATAGTTCCTGATTTAACGTTATCTTTTTTAAATTGCCATTTCGTTCGTTCTTGAAGTTGTGATAAATAATCCCGTTGCCACCTTTTCCAAATATTTTGAGTCATTTTGGTGACTCTTTCGCATCTGGACAATCTGTTGTCAAACTTAATTATAATTTCTGGTTCTACAGGGGCTGTTATAGAACGGCCAATTAAAAAATGTCCAGGCATTAATGCATTAAAATCCCTTGCATCTGAAGAGAGAGGAGAAATTGGTCTGGAGTTTAATATTCCCTCTATTTGTGTTGCTAAAGTTAAAAATTCTTCAACAATTTTGAATTCCCAACCTTTTTTTTTTTTTTTTTTTTTTTAAGATCGTGTGTTGAACGATTTAACCCCGCCTCCCAAAGCCCACCAAAATGTGCGGTGCTCTGGGAGGTATAAATTTCCACTCAATCTCCTCTGACAACAAATAGTCGGATCTTAACCATTATTCTGGTACTTTGGCTAATTTAAACAGCTTGCTTAATTCATTTCGAGCTCCACGAAAGTTTGTAGCATACCATCGTTAAATATGGTTGAGCTTTTCCCTCTCCTAGCGAAAAATCTCTTTAGGGTATCACTTATTGCCTTCCGAAGATAAAGTCTGAGACAATTTCCTAAGTGAATTGCCTTTGTAGCAAGGCACACAAATACTGCAAACATACATTTTTTGAAAAACTCCCTTTCTTTGATTTTTTGCCTTTTGAATAAGAAATGGACCACAAAAGTCGAGTCCTACATTTGTTAAAGGTTGATTCAACTGACACTTGCATTCAGCAGGCAGATCACCCACTATCTGATCTATTGCTACAGGTCTGTGTTTGAAACACTGTAAGCATTCATGTACTATTTTTCTAACAAGTTTCCTGACGCTGAATGGGCCAAAACCTTTGTCTAACAGTACTCAATAGAGCTTCTGGTCCAAGATGCAAATATTTTCAGATGATAATAGTACACGATCAAATAAGTCAACCTATGTCTAGCTGGCAAAATGATTGGATATTTACAATCCTAACTTACCTGAGATTGCGCAAAGTCTGCTACCGACACGCGTAAGATTCCATCATTATCGATGAATGGATTTAACGATTTAAGCTTGCTCCGTATGAGGTACCTGGCTATCCCTCTTAAGTGACTCAATATCATAATAAAACTCACCTTTCTGCACTTCCCGAATCATTCTTAACTCGGCCCCTTTCCTGTTCCTCTCCTAAGGATATAGGCCCTGAAACCCTTTCCTTATTCTTAATGATCTGAAGAACCTAAAAATAAAACAACAAATTTTGATTAATTTCATATAATTATTTGTTCGATTTAAGAGAGAGGCTAAACTAGAATTATTTTCTAATATTGCAAAATTAGAGTCTGATCAACATTTCAGTTCCTTGACATAGTCATTATCAGTGGTAGGCTCAAGAGGTTGTTTTGGATAATGCATGTCCTCACGGAGAAGGTCTGGTCCATTCCACCAGATATCAAACATAAGAATGTTGTTTGCATCCAGTCCACGCGATATGACATCAGCTGGGTTACATTCAGATGGCACATATTTCCATTGGTATGACCCCGTAAGCTCTTGTATTAAAGCGACTCTGTTACTCACGGAAATTTTTAGTAAGTGTGGTGATTTTCTAATCTAAGCAAGAGAAATCGTAGAATCAGACCAAAGAATTACTTTTTCTACTTTAACATTCAACGAAGATATCACTTTATCCATCAATCTGGATAATAAAAGGCAACCTGACAGTTCCAATCTAGGAATTGATTTGGTTTTTATAGGTGTAACTCGTGACTTGCTACACAAAAGTCGAACGATTGGCAATCTCGAAACTGGTGAAGCTTGAACATAGATTGCAGCTCTGTATGCCGAAGAGGATGCATCTGCAAATCCATGGAGCACTATGTGATCTTCCTGGAATACAAATCTAGGGATCTTAAGATTACTTAGTTCAGAGAGTGTGAATACGAAATTAATCCACTCCTTGGCCATAGAATCTGGCAATGTATCATTCCAATCGCGTTTATCAAGCCAGAGCTTTTGCATGAATATTTTGGCCTTTGTCACCACTGGCCCAATTAAATCAAGTGGATAGAATATTTTCGAAATTAGTGACAGAACATCTGGTTTACTATAACTGTTAGAGTGAGGAATGGCCATTGTAAACAAAAAACAGTCAATCTGGGGATTCCGGATTCCATCGGACACCAAGTGTCTTTACGAACGAAGATTCTTGTTGCTCTTCAAAAGTGTATTCTGAATCAGCGGTAATCTTATTTTCAGACACAACCAGATCTGGATGATTTGCATGCCATTTATGCAATTCCATTTTACCTCATTTCAACAAATCTATTAATCGGGATTATAGAATTCTAGCCTTTTCGAGTGATGATTCTCCATAAAGTATGTCGTCTACATAGAAGTCAGTAAGAGCGACGAACGATGCTAGAGGTAAGTTTTGGCTTTCATCTATAGCTAACTGTTTAAGAGCTCGAGTTGCTAGATAGGGAGCGTTTGATGTCCCATACGTTACTGTGTTGAGCTTATAAGTTTGCACTAGTGCATCAACACTGTCTTTCCATAGAATTCTGAGCAAGTCTCTTTGTGGAGGATGGACTAGAATCTGTCGATACATTTTTTGTGCATCTGCTGTGAAGGCGTAGCGATGTTTTCTAAATCTAACCATTATAGAAAATAATTCCTGCTGCGAAATTCTTCCTTTCAACAAAATATCCTTTAATGACATCCCGATGTCGCGGCAGTTGAGGTGTTAAAAACTTAAACGTGTACAGTCAAAAGTCGTTAATCTAGACTCGTCGGGACTTCGGCAATACCGGATTATTGATCATCAGTTTAAATCTGGTAAGATGGCATGCAGAAATTATAAAATTAAAAATATGAAACCGTAATTTATGAAATATAGAAAATTATGATCTAAAGCGTATCAAAATTTAAAAAAAAAAAAAAAAGCTTAATATTTATTTGTTTACTTTTATAACATTTCTTTCAATGTAAGTTGTTTAAGTTGCTTCATTTTTTTATGTGATAATACATTCTCTTTAATTCTATGAACAGATATAATTTCTTGTTTAGTTACAAAGTTCCGCTGTTCAAGTCCTATAATTGCTGTGTCGAGAATATTGACTAATTTTTCAATTGAAATTTTTTCGTTTT